TATATTTATATAAAATTTATGAATATGTAAGAAACATATATATATATATATATGATACAATATGATATATATATGATACGATTTATTTACATTTCTATTATAAATTGTATGACTTTTACATGTGCTGTTTATGCAATTTTATTTGGTATTCATGCTTTTATACGGCATATATTGAAATAAAGTGAAGAAAATAAAATTGCATGAATAAAATGCGAAATGTATTACACTTCCGTTATGAATCTTATGATTTGTACATTTACTGTCCATATAATTTACATACTTTTTTTATACTGCATGCTGAAAGCGCATAAAGCCTAAAAATCTACACTATTTCTTTTTGCGCAAAATATACGAGACGTTTTCAGATCTGATAAAAACTCATGCGGCACACGCCGTTAAATTCATATGCACCGTTGAAGCAGCGTTCGCTCTCAACTCCGCGCACGTTTATCGTCCGTAGCTCGTAATCGCGCGGTATGTAATTTCGTGTTGATATCCTTAGAAATTCTACCAAGGTATAAATAAAGTGAGCTGTGCAGAGCAGGCTCTCGGTGAAAGGAGTAAGGGTATATCACGCTCTAGCGAGCTTATTCTTTTTCCGTTTCGCGATCGCTGATCGTTATACGTCGACAAGTTATAGAGAATGTTATAAAATCACTGGACCTTTCAACTATATTCTATAAAAGAAGTATGTAAAATTAAGTGAACAACAAGTGCAAGAATCACGCAATTTATAATGTAAATATTTTCGTTATATATCATGCGATTTTTTGTTTATGTAATTTTATATCTTTTTTTTACAATATATTATTTTTTGCTCGATATAAAGTCGATATTTTTTTTAGAAAAAAAAAACACGCATGCGAATAAGTGATGTAACAACAATATTCGAAATTGGGTTTTTCGTATTTCAAATAAACCTTTCTCATTTTAACAGGACCTCAATTTGAGACCTCACAGGTGTGAAAACTCTTGGTATTGAAAAGTTGACATAAGCAATGACCTCTCTCGAATTTTCCTCCGAATTGTTACGCCAATCCTGAATGTGAGTTGATAAGCATATAAGGAAATACAATTTATCGCAACAAGTGAACAAGATAAAAAATATTTTTATAATTGATATTTGCGATATCTCATCAAAAAACGAGATACGATAAAAAGATATTTCGATACGTATTTCGGTACGTGTATCATCATGCAATTATATATAATTATGTAATTAGTCAGTTAGATACAATATTGAATGTGCCATATCTTTATTGTATTATTATTTAATGGTCTTTTGAGTAATTAAGTGCTGATTTTATTTTTACAAAAATATAAGGAATTCTTATTTTTTCTCAATTTTTATTTTTAAAATTATACACAGGGTGTCCTAATAATTATTAGCACCTAAAATATCTTTAAATATGTAAGATATATAATTCTAGAGGAAAATTTGTATAATTAAAATTGCACGATATAAAGAAAGTTTCTATTATATGATAATAATATTTTTTTGTCGAGGTGGAGACGCTTCGGAGATTTCAAGGTCAACTTTATTTTTTTTAATGGAATTATATGATTTTTTTCACATAATACAATATTCCTCTAGTTATTTTGCGTATAAAAGTAATAAACTAGATATATTGAAAAATCAATAGTTTACGAGATATTTTATACTTTATTCAGGCATATATTGACATAAAATGTTAAATAACTCATAAATTAATAATTTTTTGAAAATCGTACCTTAATACTTTTATGAATAGAGTAATGAGATGAATCAATCGATGTAAAGAAAATACATAATTGCTTATTTAAAAAATTATCCATTTTACAGCCATATTTTTTTAAAGCAACTATGTATTTTTTTACACCGATTGATTCATCTCATTATTCTGTTCATAAAAGTATTAAGGTACGATTATAAAAAAATTATTAATTTACGAATTATTTAATATTTTACGTCCATATGTGTCAGACTAAAGTATAAAATATCTCGTAAACTATTAATTTTTCGATACTTTCATTTTAATATTTTTATACGCAGAATAACTAGAAGAATCATATTACGTAAAAAAATCATATACATAATTCCATTTAAAAAATTAAGTTGACCTTGATATCTCTGAAGCGCCTCCACCTCGACAAAAAATATTATTGTCATATAATAGAAACTTCCTTTATATCGTGCAATTTTAGTTATACAGGATACAAATTATTATCGCCATGTAATAGCCTTCATATCGTGCAATTTTGATTACACTTATACAAATTTTTCTCTAGACTTTATAGAATCGAAAAAAAAAACAATATATACTCAGGGTAGGGAGCACTATATTGTGTTATCGATAACTACAATCAAGATAATCTTTTCTTTTTAACAAATCTGATTTTTTGAGTTATGTTTTCGATGCAAGTATGTAGTATAACTAGTATAAGAATTGTATACACCATTTCTAATTAATTAACGATAAATTATAACGATATAATAATTAATTATAATGATTATATATAATAGAAAAAAATTATTTTATATTAGAATCTGGATCTACATGATCTCTTAAAGGACTAATTTTTATATTCCGTATATAACCTATAATGTAACGAGCATTTTCACATTAATTTTAATGTAATTGACAAGATTCGATGATATGATTATGATGATCTAAATTATTTTCAGATCTGTAATCTAGCTAAATTTTTAAATTGTTCTTTCCGTATGGCATTCTTGAAAAATACTATTTATTTGAACATTTGTATTTTGTAGCATATGAAAAAGACTTGCATTTTCGTATTATCATATTCTATAATGTGGTAATCTCTTCAAAAAAATTTGTTGAAAAATAGCTGTTTTTAATAATTAGAACTTTATATATATATATATATACACACACACACATATAATCGTCCCATTGGTTCTAAGCAGCCAGCTTGTTGATAGCCACGTATGTATATAAAAATTGTGTCTGTAGTTTTCAGATCAGAAATATTTTTAATCTCAGTAATATAATTATTGAGGATTTATTAATTAATCGAATTTCAAAATTCTAGATTTGTATAGTTTCCTGATGAAATCTTTAAACTAGGAAATTGAGCTTCAATCTCAACTACCTCGAGATTTCTTTCGCGCATATTTCTTCTAATAATCGAAAATATTTTCCGCTCACTTTTGCGAAACAATTTGAAATACATTTTGAAATGAATTATAATACATGTTTTTATCAGACGATTCGCACGAAACGAAAGGCAATGTCACGCTGGTGTTTTTTACTCTTTTTTTTTACATCACTCTCGTCTCTTCTCTTACATGCGTGTGTTTTTCTTATCTGGTTTTCCACATCCTATCTCATCTCTGGGAATGTTACGCCGCAACACTCGCACGCTCAATATGCGCAAAATGAGACGGGAATAAAATCACATGTGGCTTCCATAACGTTCGATTTGATTGAATAAAATATTTTATTATATATTATATAATATGATTATATTTTAATGTATATCATAATCTTATACAATATATGTATTCATAGTTTGATTACATTTTATATCCTTGATGTAGCCTAGATTTATTGTACTAGTATTATATAGATATAATACTATTATCAATTATATATTATTTTATTTCCAGATTTCTCTTATATCATTATCATAATGTTGTATAATTCCGCAAAAAGTAAATGTTGTATAATTTATATAGTATAGAGAAGAAAACATTTGTTGTTATCTAGAATTTATTAAAATATTTTTTAAAGCAGATTATTTAAAATATCGAATTAGAATATCTTCAACAATTAATAAATTCAAGATAATCATTCTGTATAAATTATACATTATTCTAAATATAATGTTGAAATTTTCTGAAATCGGTGCGTGCTAACTGAATATCCTACAACCATTTTCTCAGAAGGAACTATCAGCTATCAGCGAACTTTCAACGAATAAATTATTGTAAATCAAGCAAGTTTATCGACTGCAATATCACTGCTTCATCCTGCGCCGTGTTTGCCGCATCGGATATCTCGATGAAATTGTAGCTCTCTCTCTCTCTCTCTCTCTCCCTCCCCCCTCTCTCTGTTGAATGTAAATCCTTATTCACAATACCCGGTAGGTGGTTTTCTCGTTATCGATCTGTCCTTTCACCTTTCCCCGTTGTTTTCTTTTCTTCTTTTACACCTTCGTGCGACATAATGGATTTTTCCTTTCTTGAGGAACCAACGATTAAAGTCGCGAGTTTCTGTATGTATGTATGTATGTATGTATGTGTAAGCAGTATATTAGTTTTAAACGGAAATATGTGTGTCAAGTACATATAACAATGGCGCTATACGATCAATACCCTTCCTGGACAGGGTAAATTCCCGTATTTAATATCGCGTCAGCGATTCTGGCGATGTCAATTGCAAAACACGCAGCGATTCTCTGCTCGACGGCGATTATGATTATTGAATCAATTTATTTGAAAATATCATAATTAAATTATTATAAAACAGTAATTAACATATTCGAAAACAGATAAGGTATCTCTTTGTATTCCCGATATAACGGCAACAAAAAATTTGTATCGGATGAAAGACGTATAAATTGTAAAATGACGGAAGAATTGTTCTCGTTTGCAAAAGTAAACGATGACTCTTTCTTCCAGTATTGCAAAAAACAATCAATTGCCGGACCGAAAACTGCTATGTGTTTTGCCATTGGTATTGTCAGAATCGCTAACATGATATTAAATAGAATTTACTTTGTCCAGATTATGTATTTCTCTTTTTTTCAAAATTTTTTTCGTAATAAAAAATGTTGACAAAACGGAAAGATCACGCAAGAGATATATCTGTTATGTTAATGATACTATTACGACTGTAATAGTGATTGAGAAAATAATATTAGGAAGAGGATTATAGGTTTCGTAAAATATTAATGCAGTATTTGGATTTTCAATGTTGTATAGACAAACTGAAAGAGATATTGCACAATGTAACATATAATATATCTTTCTTTGCTTTTTTTTTATAATAAACATGACACGTTATACTTAGAATATCGCTTAACATATTTAGGCCGGTATTCATAATCCGTTCTTATTTCAAGATCATCTTAAGTAATGTCTTAAGATGCTAATACAGTCCTCTGATTGATTCGTGACATTTTAAGACTGTATTTAAGAAATCTTGAATATAAGAATCGACTATGAATACCGCCTTTAGAGGCCCAGTTTCCTAATTCACAGTTACTCTTAATCGAAGTTGAACTTATTCATTACCTCTCTAGAATTTTAGAATTGGAAAGAGAAACAAGTTGAACCTCGATTAAGAGTTAACCATGAGTTGTGAAACTGGGCCTTAATACAATACTGTGCTATTTAAAATATTACTCTCACAATACTTGCTATGAAAAAAATCGTAAATTAAATTGTGTATCTATTGATTATACATTATAAAATGAAAAAGTAAAAAGCTTTTCTTGATTTTTTGTAGTTTGATTCATTTTAGGCGAATATGTGAGAAAGGAACTATTTAATACTTAGGCATTCTATTTAACGAATAAGTATTTTTAAGAGTTTAAAGAGAGTTTTTTATGACAACGGCGGTTACGATTGCAACGTGTAAATAATCAACAATATCTCGAGTGTTCTCAAGAACGAAATTGCAAAAAAATAAAATTGTTATATGCACATTGTACATATACAATGCAAATTTAGGCGATATTAAGTAAATAAAAATAAATATGTAAAAAAAATGCAAAATCTAATTTTAAAAAGGAACTTTCATTTTGATGATACCTTATAAATGTTTATAGGATTATCCACGCGTTGCTCAAATTTTGTCGAAAAAATATTGTAGAGCAAGACCAGTGATAAGGATATATAAAGGAGAGAGTTAATAATTCGTGCAGATCATATATTGTACCGCAAAACTATTATATATATATATATATTTTTTTTTTTAAATAACAGCCAATAATCGGCTTTAAGTATTCATATTATATAGCGCGTCTCAGACGCGTCGATGTAATTTATACGTCTGTTTGAAATTCGAATATTTCGAAGATTCGTTTCGCTTTGGCATAGCGTTTTCACGCTAAAATACCTGTATCGAGCTCAATATTTCTTAAGTTTAATACTTTCTCTTCTCTCTCTCCTCTCGTAGAAAAGTCAGATCTTATGTAACTTTACTGCGGAATGTATATACCACATCATAGATTAAAGATACAGCTTGTTAACAGTTATAGTTTGAGCGAAAGCTAATAAGAAGGATAATGCGCGTTTAAAGAATTATGATTTCCCTTTTTTCTCTCTTATGGAATGTACGTTTGATTGGTCATTGGCTTTCGTCAATGCGCCCACTTTCCCTCTCCCTCATATCCTCTACTGCTCCTACTTGCAACACGTAATCGTCACAATCTCTCATCTACTAGTAAAATGACGCATACAATGTTGTTTCCAATACATACGAATACACATGACCCCCTCCCCCCTCCCTCTTTATTACATGTATCGAGAAAAACGGAACGTGGTTGTACATCACATTACTAAGAGCACTTAACCACGCAACACTTTAACTGCGTTATAAAAATACGCAATATTATTACAATAAAATAATTATTCATAGTTCTTAATTCAATTAATTGTGTTTACTTGACGAAAGTCTCTTATATATCGCCTTGCACGTTATCACAGTGTACGGTAGTTTCCTTCCTTGCATTGCCTATAGAACTTCCATGAGAACGCGGCGATTGCCATCAAACATGTAGTAAGGATAATGCCACCTGCAACAAAAAATATGCATGACTATTTGATATTTAACTATATCTTACATTAAATCGAAATAAAGAATTTATAATAAGGAAATTCATCTAAAAGAATTTTTTTATAACCTGTATTTGTAATTTATGCAATTTTAATTATTTTAATAAAATTTTTGTAAAACTTTTTATTTTATGGTCTTATCTATTGTAAGATAGTCTCTCAATTAATTTATAGAAATAACTAATAGAATAACATCTCTTACGTACCAAAAAAGCTTAGACCATCAAATTGGCGATCCTTAGAAGATGGTGGTACAGCTGTTGTCTTTGATGAAGCTGTGCTACTGGATGTAGGTGGAGATGTTGGAATGCTGGTTGTTGTTGTATTTATTGGTACAGTAGTTTTAGGTGCAACAGTAGTAATAACAGTAGTAGGAGTAACAGTAGTAGTGGAAATAATGGTGGTAGGAATTGTAGCTTTAGTAGTAGGAGTAATAGTAGAAGTAATAGTAGAATTTGGAGTAGTACTTGAAGTTACAGTAGTAATTACAATAGTATTATTAGATTCTGGTACAGCAGTAGTAATTTTTTCTGTCTGATTACTATGGTTCGAAGACTCCGTTGCAGAAGTAATTCCATTTTGCGTTGTATCTATGAAGAATCCATACATTAATTTTTTTTAATAAATAAATATTCTATATATTTCAATTTTTAAGATTTTAAAACATTTAAAACTGTTTTTCCTGCAACTTCAAAATGAAATAAAAAAATATCCAAAGCTTAATTTTGTTCTCATAAGCAAATATTTTTTATACATCGTGCATAAACGCATATACGCATCACTCATAAACATTAAATAAAATAATTTTTAAGATATTACTTAATTAATAATATTCATTTTTAAAAATATGAAGCAAAAATAAAATTTGAATCAATTTCATTCTGTAATATAAAATTTTTCAGATCGATATTCTGCGATTAAAAAAAATTTTAAACATTCGAATATAATTTCTACCAGAAAATTATGTATTTTGATATAAAATGAAAATGACAAAAGTGAGCAAATTCACTACAATATTCATTTATTTTGTAATTTTTCTTTCGTTTCAAGATACTTTCTTAATTTTTTTACTTAATTTTTTATTGTGTCAAATAATTTCAGACATTGATTTACATCTTAACAAGATGTCTGACAAATATAAACCCATATCAATATCTTTAGATCTGTCATTTCAGTTGAACTTTCGATTCATTTTTCCTCTTTTTCCTTCATGTTAAAGTAAAAAAGAGAAAAGATGAACAATTCAACTAACGCCCATTTCTACCAATGTAGTTTAATTTTAATCTCAATTCAACTAATTCATCATTTTTTATTTTATGAATTAAAAAAAATGAAGACTGAGATTCACGCCAATTTACATTGATAGAAACGGACATACATAAAAAGAATGTTTTTTTTACATGACGAAATTTTAACTTCTTCAGTATCATATAGCTCTTTATATATCGTTTGTCGGCAACCGTGAACGTATTGCTGACGACGATAAAACATTAAGTCGTTGCGCGCTTCGATTGTTATCGCTCATCATACCTAAGATTCGGCTGGTGGTGGTCAGCGAAAATCAATAGTAATCTACTCGAGACTACCGCTGTTGTGTAACGAAGGTCGAACGTGTGTAGGAGACATGTGCTGAGTCGCTGTTTTTAACAGCTCGATGTTTTTTTTTTCTAATCAATCTTATGTTTTTATAGATTTCTCGCGAAAAGAAGAAAGAAAAGAAAAAAGAATATTGTCAAAAAAGAATATCTTTACGCATGAATAGGGTAGCAATCATGTAACTTTAGAGTAGAAACGTGAAAATTTCTTGTATATATATATATGTGTGTACATACACACATAAAAATTCATTTTTCACGTTTCCGCTTTAAAGAAAAAGTTACGTGATTGCCTGAATGCGGAAACGCGAATACATAAATTTCTTGAACATCGCTACTGAAAAAAAACAGTGCCGTTATCGGTAATTCGACGCGAGTAGGCGTCCGTCGATAAGACATGGAATACAGTAATTGACTATCGTCCACCCGATACCGCGTGCTTTAAGTCTCATTATTACGCATGTATAAGCAACGCACTTTGTAATCATTACGCGCCAATATTTAGAATTAATCAACTCACCCTGCACGGCCAGCACCAGTGGCACACACAGTAACGCGCAGATCAAATAAGCAGACTTCATATTTCGAAAATCGTCAAAAATTTCTCGTTCTTTTCAAAATGCGCAGAAACGATAACACAACGTACACTGCCACTCTACCACACCGAACTGATCGTGATTGCGTGTGAACTCTCAACTTCGAAACGATTTGCAGCGACCAGTAGCGACCGTTACTTACAACGTTAAAGATGGCGATAACACAGTTGCCAACAATACAGCTTAATAGTCCCTAGATAAGAAATTGGGCGAGTTTAGAAGTTTACTCATTTTGCATATGCTTTATATTCGAATCATAAGCCGGTATTCATAGTCGATTCTTATTTTAAGATCATCTTAAGGCCATTCTACATTGATCGTATCGTAGACGTCGCAAGCTTGCGCTTCAGCCAATCCGATGCTTCAATTTTAAATGTCGCATGATGTTTACGACGCTTCCGACGCTACGATACGACCAATGTAGAATGGCTTTTAAGTAATGTCTTAAGACGCTAATGCAGTCCTCTGATTGGTTCATGATTTTTTAAGACCGTACTTAAGACGGTTTTGAATATAATGGCTTCTACACACTGGACGCGGAAACGCTTGCCGCGCGGCAAAATATGAAGCGGTAGCCAATAAGCTTACAGCTTTTAATGTGTTCATTGGTTACCGCATCTCATTTTGCCGGGCGGCAAGCGTTTCCGCGTCCAGTGTGCAGGAGTGATAAAATCTGTTCTTACACTAGACTGTTCTAGAATTCTCTTTCTCGCTTTAAACAAATATCAAACGTATCTATCTCACAATGGCTGCGTTCAGCTCGCGTACTCAACAGTTGAGTAAACGCTCGCTGTTATTGGTGTATTTTTTTAGATCATCCAATCAGCATTTTAGATATGAAAGAATACATCAATAGCAGCGAGCGCTCACTCAACTGTTTAGGCCGCTGAACGCAGCCTTTAAGTTCCAAAAGTGTACACTAGTTTAGCCGCAGAAAACAGATCTGACTATGAATACCGGCTATAAGAATATAGAGTGCGTTCCGTTTTCATGCTGTAAAGTTTATCCTCTGAAATGTAAAATATTAAACAAGAAGAAACGATGCTTACAAACGCTGTAAATCCAAAACAAAATGCATTCACAAGAGGTCTGTTCTTTTTAGTTGGACCCTTATTTTTGAAAAGAAATTATACGAAAGACTAGGCATATACTATAGTATGTAACGTAATAGTATATGTAACGTTTTTTTTTTTCAAGAATAAAGGCCTTTGTGTTTCTTGCACTTTTCTCTTTTTCTCTCTAAAGTCCATTCTACATTAGATACAAGCCGATCGCAAGTTTGTTGCGACAGCCAATTTGAAAGTGCATTTTCACGAACTGCTCACTGAACTATATATACACTGGAAATACATCTCCGCTGTGAAGCATAGAAAATCGTGGTATCAATTGATCAGCGCCATTTTAATTTGGTCAATATAAGAGCGAATCAGAAGTTTTCAGGTACTCATGCGCACTTACGTTTAGTTTTTTTTTTAGTGAGATATGTGAGATACACAAACCAATCAGAGGGCTGCATTAGTGTTTTTAGTCTTAAAACATTACTTAAGACGGTCTTAAAATAAAATAAACTATTGGCCTCTTCTGATTGGTTTGTGACATCTTAAGACTGTGCTTAAGATGATCTAAAATATAAGATTTGACTATGAATAGTCTTAGAGTTATTTAGATGTAATTCCTGAACGCATCCTATAGGAGATACAGGACAGTATCCATAGTTTTTATACATATAAATCTGTACACTTAACTCTTGAATGCCCATTTTTATTAATGCAGTTTAATTTTAATTTTGATTTAATTAACTCTTTATTTTTTTTTCTAATTGTAAGAATTTAAAAAAATGAAGAATAAGGAAAATGCTATAAAAATCAACTATGATTTTTATAGCGTTCGGCATAGCGACTGGCCGTAGTAATTATAAAATCTCTTAAATCGCTTAAATTACATAATTTTAAAATATATGTATATCCTTCGATATATATATCAAAGGATTTTGTTATTCCAATTTTCTGAAACTGGCACCTTGTTTACAATTCCCCATAAATTGTTATCAGTTATTTTCTTACTTCTGACCTGATCTCATACATACGCTGAAATATCGAAATTCAAGTAATGCGAACGGAGTAATAATAAGAAACGATCTTTATAATAATTGAAAGACTCAAAGACAAAACTATAATTTTAATAAAAATTTCTTTCTTCTTGTAGCATTTAAAATTTATTTGACGTCAAATGACTTCTTTTCACGATTTATCCGAAAAATATTTTTCAAGTTTTATAAAAGCTAAAGAATCCCAATCTGCTCAAAATTTAAGTTGTATATCAAGTTTTATAAAAACATAGAATAAGCAATCTACATACAAGATCTAAAATATAGTAAAATTTCTTACGAGCACTCATGTTACTGTGAGTGCACGCTTCAGAACGAGTTTTCCCTCAATCCTATCAATTAATTATATGTCTCCGATTTGTTCGATTATCTCCCGCTTTTGTTGACGGTTACAAGAAGGTGGTGCCCTCTAGGATCGTCGGCGGCGGGGCGGGGTAAATCGGGGACCGCAACGGTCGGGAACGAGAATGCCGATGATGCGCGCTGAGGCGCTGAGCGCTCACAGCTCACGGGTTGTCGGGTTCAGTGCTGGTGCTCGATGCGAGGCGAGTGCGCGCGACGGTGCAGCACGAGTGCTTGCGCTCGTACGGGCCTGTTTTCGTGATCATCAAAGAGCGTTTTAGGCCACCGTCGTGCACAATCGTGATTCAAGGACTGATTTTCCATTGCGATGAAAGAACAGATTATGAACGTTCTGATATCTCGCAGGATTGGATATTTGATATAAGGATTGAAAAAAGGAGTATCTTGATTTGTGACTTGTTAAAGAGAAGAGAGTATCTTTATTTGTGAGATCGTGATACGACGATACGACGGTCAATCTACACGGGGGAGGTGACGAGAGCTCGCGGAAGCGCGGGTGAACGGTGCGGTGTTCTGGGGTGGCAGCAGCGGGGTGGCTCGCGGTGATGACCAGCTCGCGGATAAAGGGCGAGGGAAATGGGCCGCTCCGCGTTTGATACGTGATACGAGGTGCGTGAGCGCGCGCGCGCGCGCTCTCTCTCGCTCTCTCTCTCCCTCTTTTGTGGAGCAGCCCCGCGCGTGTGTATGTGGCGTGCGTGCGTGTGTCGTCGTCGGCCTCCTCGTCCACCCCGTTGTCGTCGTCGTCGACGTCGTGCCGAGCCGCGAGTCTGTGTGTCATCCAGATACGCGTGTGAGTTGCGTGAATGAAAAAGAAAGAAAGGGGAGGGCCGCTCGTTACTCCAAGATTGCCGAAACGAGCGTCATTGTGGTGGTTGTCGTCGTCGTTGCCGTTGCCGTCGTCGTCGTCGTTGCCGCCGCCGCCGCCGTTGCCCCGACGCGCGACTCGACGTGGACGTCGAAAGCAAAAGGGATAGGCTGCTCTTCGTAGAAATGCGACGTGATATGACGACGGTGAGGAGTGTCGTTGACGACGTCGTTGACGACATCATTGTGGACAACACCACTGTGGACATCATCATCGTGGACAACATCATCGGCAGTATTCTCAACTTTGTCATCGACGTCGATATCAACAGCGTCAACGGTGAATGTAGCCACTCCATTCAATCGCCTATTCGCGACAACATTATTGCTGTTGTTGCTGGTGTCGACACAACCTGGTCCCGCTACGGCCGCCTGCCGGTGGACCAACGAGGCTGGCAACGACACTCGTTCAGCGGATTGCGCCCTTCGCGTGCTAGATCCTACGGCGATCGTCACCCTGGCGCCGTCCCTTGATGGCGCACTTAAGTTACGGATTCGCTGCAGCGATGTGCATCACTTTGAGAGCAGCTTGAACGCGCAAAGTTGGCAGCGGCTGGCCGGTCTGCATGAACTGCACGTGCACGGCTGCAAGGTGTTACGTATCCCAGAGGATGCGTTTTTGCCATTACCGGATCTTAAGCGGCTCGTCGTACAGACGTTCAATGCCGCTTGGGGTGCTGCCAGATATCTGGAGTTCGCGCCGAGTTCGCTCCGAGGCCTCCGCGAGCTTCATACTCTGGAGATCGTCGAGAGCAATGTACTGGCGCTGCCGCCCAAACTGCTTTGCGAGCTCGACAATTTACAGACTCTCAATCTCACTGGCAATCGTATCCGCGACGTCGATGATATCGGTCTAACAGTGCGTTCTGAGATCAACGGCGGATCCTGTCGCGCCGATATCAGGATTCTGGATCTATCACGTAATGAATTACGGCAACTGTTTGATGACGGACCGCTGGTGAGCCTGCGGCAACTGCAAGAGCTACATCTGCAGCGCAATGCGATCACCGAGATCGGCAAAAATGCCTTACAAGGACTCACTGTGCTGCGTACATTTAACGTCAGCCACAACTCCCTGGATTCGCTGCCTGAGGATTTGTTCAAAACTACGCGCGACCTGCGGGAGATACACCTGGCGTACAACGGCCTACGTGATTTGCCACGGGGCGTGTTCACCCAGCTGGAGCAGCTGCTGGTGCTGAATCTCGCCAACAACCGCCTTGGCAGCGATCGTGTCGACGAGACTACTTTTCTCGGTTTGATTCGCCTGATTGTGCTTGATCTCTCATACAACCAGCTGACACATATCGATGCCCGCATGTTTAAGGACTTGTTCTTTCTACAGATCCTCGATCTACGCAATAACTCGATTGACCGTATCGAAAGTAACGCTTTTTTGCCGCTCTACAATCTTCATACACTCGAACTCTCTGACAACAAGCTCCATACTATAGGAGCACAGCTCTTTAACGGTCTGTTTGTACTAAATCGCCTGACCATGTCCGGAAATTCGATTTCGAATATCGACACGATGGCGTTTCGCAATTGTTCCGATCTCAAGGAACTGGATCTCAGCGGTAACGAGCTTACTGCAGTGCCGGATGCATTACGCGATCTCGCCTTCCTCAAGACCCTTGACCTGGGCGAGAACCGGATCAGCGAGTTTCACAACGGTTCCTTCCGTAACCTTCATCAACTCACTGGTCTACGTCTAATCGGCAACGACATCGGTAATCTGACTCACGGGATGCTCTGGGACTTGCCGAATCTCCAAATCCTCAATCTGGCTCGGAACAAAGTGCAACACGTGGAAAGGCACGCGTTCGAACGTAATATTAAATTGGAAGCCATCCGCTTGGATGGCAACTTTCTGTCGGAAATCAACGGTGTATTCACTAGCATCACTAGCCTTCTGTTACTGAATTTATCGGAAAATCACATAGAGTGGTTCGATTATGCCTTCATACCTGTTAATCTTAAGTGGCTCGACATTCATGGCAATTTTATTGAAAGTCTTGGTAATTATTATAAAATTCGCAATTCTAAAGTGAAGACTTTGGACGCTAGTCACAATCGCATCACTGAACTCTCACCGTTGTCTGTGCCAGATAGCGTGGAGTTATTATTCATCAACAACAATTACATTAGCACCGTACGACCGAACACATTCGCTGATAAAGTGAATCTCACTCGGGTTGATATGTACGCGAACATGATCGAGACGATGGAATTAACATCGTTACTGCTGACCAAAGTACCGGAGAATAAACCGCTGCCAGAGTTTTACATCGGTGGCAATCCCTTCAACTGCAATTGCTCGATGGACTGGTTGCCGGCCATCAATAACCAAACCTCGACAAGGGAATATCCGCGTGTCATGGACCTTGACAATGCCATGTGCCGTACCTCCGGGCCGCGGGGAGTCGCCATCGTCCCGGCCTCGACTGCACGCTCGGAACAGTTCCTCTGCCGCTACGAGGCGCATTGTTTTGCCCTCTGTCATTGTTGTGATTTTGATGCCTGTGATTGCGAGATGACCTGTCCAGCAGGTTGCAAGTGTTACAATGACCGTACGTGGAATACGAATGCAGTCGATTGCTCAAGTCTTGGAGTCGAAGAAATCCCGCGTAGGATACCGATGGATGCCACCGAAGTCTATCTGGATGGGAACGTGTTACGAGAATTGCAGAATCACGTGTTTATCGGTCGTAAGAACATGCGCGTGTTATACGTAAACGCCAGTGGCATTGAATCCATCCAGAATCGCACCTTCAACGGCCTCAACAACCTGCAAATTCTACATCTCGAAGACAATCGTATACGTGAACTCAAGGGTTTCGAGTTTGAACGATTATCGCACTTGCGCGAGCTCTATCTACAGAACAATATGATTGGTTTCATTGGCAATCTTACGTTCTTGCCGTTGCGATCGCTTGAGATTCTTAGATTGCACGGCAATCGGTTGGTAACCTTTCCAGTGTGGCAAGTCACTTTGAACGCTCGATTGGTCGAGTTATCGCTAGGCGGCAATCCATGGTCGTGCCGCTGCAAATTCCTGCAGGAGCTGTCTTCTTGGGTGTCAGACAATGCGCATAAAGTTATTGACGCTGGTGACGTATGGTGTTATTACGGCGGCGACGCCAGACCATCTTATCGACGTCGTTTGAATGTCAACGAGACCGCCTGTTCGGATTATTTCGCTCAAGGTGGTGTCATTGAGAGTATCATGGTATCGGACTATTTACCGTTGGTAGCTGCCACTCTCTCAGCCATCATTGTTTTGCTAGTGATTATAGTACTCGCTTTCGTGTTCCGCGAACCGGTCGGCGCCTGGGCCTATTCCAAGTATGGACTGAGATTCTTGCGCACGAAACCGGGTAAAGCTGTAACGACGGCGAGCATGGGTCCTGCAGCAGCGATGGCTGCAGGCTGCTGCGACGCCGATCGCGATCGCCTCTACGATTGTTACGTGTGTTACAGTCCAAATGACGAGGACTTTGTCTTGCACTCGTTGGCAGTCGAATTGGAACACGGTGCGGCTGGTCTGAGACTCTGCCTCCATCATCGGGATTTGCCTTGCGTGTTGCGCGCTTCTGCACCCGCACCAGCCGTCCTCGAGGCGGTGGACGCATCTCGACGCGTGCTAATTGTGCTTACCCGTGATTTCCTTCAAACCGAATGGTCGCGTTTCGAGTTTCGCGCAGCGCTGCACGAAGCATTGCGCGGTCGTGCCTCCCAGCTGATCGTCATCCAAGCTGGCAATATTAGTATCGAGGTTGAACGCGATCCCGAGCTGCGGCCCTATTTGAGAACGGCAGCGCTCATACTTACATGGGGCGAGAAGAGGTTCTGGGAACGGTTAAGGTACGCTATACCGTCGTCCACGACAACTGCAATTATTGCTACTAGTACCACTACCACCACTACAGCCGTCGGCGATGTATCCGTCGAGAGCAAATCGTCACCGTTGGTGTACAAACGCAACATCAACACCTACACCCTGGACGGTGGTGTCGGTAGTCTCGAGAAAACCGGGATGTCGACGCTGCGTGGCGGTCAACGTGCTGCGCTCTTCAAGGACGCCTCGTCGGCGTTGATGCTGCAACACGCGCCGCCCGCTTATTCGTGCGGCGGTGCCCCACTTCCCCCTATGTTGCCACAGCAACAACAGCAGCCGCAGCTACCACCACCATCGTCGTCGCCGGCGCAACCCAGGTTAACCGTCAATCACGCCTACCGGGACGCGATGCCAGCTAGTAATCTCATCACGACCACTGTCGCCACCACCAACACCGCCAACTGCGGCGTTGGCGAGGACCACAGGAGACCGCTGTCCGAGCACATCTACTCGTCCATCGACTCGGACTACTCCACCCTTGAGAGGACCGCCTGGAGGCAGCAGCAACCACCGCCACCACCGCCCCCGCCCACTTCTGGACAGGCCTACCTGGTTTAGCTCCCTGCGAACGATCCCGATATCCCCGTGTGGGACTCATGGGACTGTCATACTGTCGATCCGACTACAAGAACGACGAGCGACAGTAGTCGTTCTGAAAAGGTTGTGCTAAGTCTTGTCCACGTGACGCACGATCGACAGATTGTGAATTTTCGAAAACGTTGCGCGCGTGCCGAGTCACGAACCCCTGCGAAATATGTGTACATAGTTCAGGGACATCGTCGCAAAGGACGAAGGACGGAGTATTCGCATATCATAATTATCTCTAGAGACTTTGGGGATGTCTGTTGCGATAATGATTGCGCCGGTTTCTTTTTTGCTCAATGAAAATTTTGATCTTTTTATGTTGTTGGAAGATTGACATTTCTTTACTTCTTTTTTTTATCTCTTTTTCTCCTTTATTTTTGTTATGTTTATTCTTGACTTTGCAACTTCCTTTACTTTATACATTCATGCTTAATGTAATAAGTCTTTCGGCCTATTCCCTTATTGTCAGGATTGCACATTGCGCATTCTTGATATAAATACGAATTTCGTAACAGCGTTTTGTGCGAATGTTTTGTTCAGGTATACAGAGTGTCCCCGAATCTCGTTTATGCATAGAATTGACTTTTTTTTTTATAGAAATGAACAAAACTTTGTAATAATTTTTTATTTGCATTTTTGTAATTACTATTTGCGAGTTCTGAACGTGGGAATTAAGCGCAAAATACAAAAATATTAATTTTTTTTTCGGTGTTTAACTTCAAGAACTATTCTTTTTTATGTTCTCTTTTTTTTTTAACTCAGAAAACTTCCTGCAGATGAGCTCTATTACAGATTGAATATCAAAATTAGCTTGTAATTTCCTTAAATAATTTCCTTGACTCGAAATTCATATAAGATTCAACTGTTATTAAAATGAAAGGTTCTGAGATTCTCTGTGCACCTCTGTGCATCCCGTTTACCTCAGATGCTTTTTAGCACCCAAAGATCTCAAAGTCCGCGCGATCACGCGCGGATTGTCAGGCCGTCTCTTTCGTGGCGGCGATTTCACCTTCGTGTAAATACTTCCTATTTACGACGAATCCGTGTAAATAACATTCTCTACTACGCAATTTGCGTTCGTGTACGTATGTACATTGTACATATACAAACATGTAACTGACACATGTCGCATTTCAACGTCCTCGCCGCATAATAGAATCATGATGCTAGCTTTGACTCTGAAACTTTCGAGACTAGGTAGATGATTTTTTGTAATTTTATATGTCCGCAGGGGAGAAAGAACAAGAAAGATAGTATGAGTGAGTGAGTGAGAGAGTGAGTAAATGAGAGAGAGAGAGAGAGAGAGAGAGAGAGAGAGAAGGAAGAGGTAAGATGATTGTACGATATGTAAATATGTATATTGGGTATATACTCTTTATCGCCGCGCCTCGTGTAAGATACAGTTCGCCGCGTAAAAGAGAAGGTAAGAATCGAGTGAGAGAAACAAAAGCGTGAGACATGCGCCCGCGCGATCCGGCGAGAAGCAAACCATGCGAGCGTTTGCGCATGTGACGTGAGACTTAACTGTATACTTTTGATTTATTTAAATCATGTGAATAAATTTATAAAATATGTTACTACTTATCTTCACAATATACGCCTTGATATCTTAATTCTGGCAGCGATTATCGTCGAAGTCCATTTCGAAGATTTCTTAATTTACTGCGAAATGCATTTGAAGGAAAAAATTCTATTACAATATTACAATTTGGCATATCGTAACGTAGAAATTATAAATAATGTCATATATATTTCATAAAGAGGGTAATATATAAACGGAGAATATATGTGCAAGATATTATGGGGGTGATGATAAATTTATATTCACATTAATATCGCTTGCCACGGCACTAACTGAGAATTTCTTGAATTAACGATGTGACGACATTAATTGTTATGTCTAAAACGGAAAGACGCTTAAAAATGAGAAAATAGTTACAAAACAGACTAATTGTGCATTCGCCGATACGTAGTCATAATATGAGATCAGGGCAACATAACACTTTTTTCTTTTTTATTACAATTCACGATGTATTTTTACAACTTGACACATGAGATTAGATCTTCAAATTATAAAATTTTTGAGATGGGTTTTTCTTGAGAGGTCTACCGAAATAATATAAGTACAGTTCCATAAGCAGGCGAGCTTAAAAGCGAGAACTCGAGGAGCACGTGTTCTCTTGAATACGGAGAAGGGGAATCTCTTTCTTTCCTTTGGTGGCGCAAGTTGGAGGAGTCGTTTTTTCTCCGCGAACCGAGTTGCGGCGAAATTCAGATCGATTGAGAGAACGAGAGACAGAGAAAGAGAACTTATTTCCATATGGTAATTTCGCGCTACGATTGGTTAAAATATTCGCGCAAATGCATTATCCGAGCGTGTGCGGAGGAAGGGGGAGGAAGAGAGCGGGAGAGAGCGAGTGAGCAAGCGGGGTGTGTGCAACCGTGTTGTTTCCCACACAGCCCCGGCTTTCTCTCTTCTCTCTCTCTCTCTCTTTCTCTCTCTCTCTCCCTCTTTGTTGTTACCTATATATCGTGGTGCGCGGCCGTGTGCCGGCTATATAGACCGCGAACGGAACATTGATCCTAGTCAGCGGCGCCGCGCACTCACTGCACACCATCTGCACACTTACATTATTAATGCGCCTACGACCGTCACCGCACCACGACCCGTACCTGCGCGGAGACGATGTATGTTTCTGTTGTTTGCGAAATCTTTCCGCGACCAAGTGTAAACACCGGGAATATCTCGCGCGCGTGTAGCATTTAAGCGCCGTGTGACGATTCGCAATTCCGCAATTCCGCGATTCGAATCTTACTGAATTTAAAACGGGATGTCTCTTTTTACTCAGATTTTTCTCCTTGAGACATGAAATGGATTATCGCGGGGTCGATGTTCTCCTGACGAAACTTGCTTACGATAGAGAGTCTTAATATCGACAATTCAAAGACTCGGAATGATTAATAGCCTGGATTAAGCTTGATGCATCTTTCTTTGACTAATTTCAAATTAAATATACTTGTATTATATTTCAACTTCGTATCTGCTTCTGAAAGGACATTGGCAATTATTAATAAATATAGAATCCGGTTATCACATCTTCGAATAAACTATGTGATAATTTACTTATTGGATAAACAAAAGAGTAAGAGAGTAAGACAATGAGCTGAATCGAAAGGTGGTACAACCCAGCCTTAATTCGATATGTAATTACTAAAACGTTAAAAATGAAAAAAAAAACTTCCACCTTTAAGTCCTGAAAGAAAATATTAATCTATTAATGAATGGTTCTAGATACAATGACCGTCCATTGACCAAAAATGCCAATTTATTCCATATCATACATACACATCGATCATTGATTATTCTTTAACGTTAATGTCCAACGATAAAACATACACATATACTTGATACGCGAATAGTATTCTTTACGTGTCGTATATAATTATTTATAATTGAAGCTCCCGCATAGCTCAAACATAAATCGCGATCGCTGTCGCGGAGTTGCGCCACGCAGGACGACGCATAAGACTGAAAAAGGCGCGTATGTTACTTTAAAGAAATATGGTTTCCTCTCCACACTGGAGTCTCTCCGTATTCTAGCACAAGTGGCCGCGCTCGGAACCAGTTTGCCCGCCTTGCTATGGAATGTAAGGACGGCTGTAATTATTTGCAGCGCGTAGAGCCGCTGACCGCCGCGCCGCGATCGAATCTAGGCGTGTAGAATCGCCGCTATGATCCTTGCGATCTCCTTGCGGTATATCTCGACGTCCCGATTTCCATCCGCCGTCATCTCTCGCGATAGGCTGCCATTGTATCCGACAACGCCCGCTGATCCTCCCCGCCTCTCCCTTTTCCTTCCCGTTAACGGATCCGCGTCGTGGAACAGAAATCCACATAATTCGCGCATAGTTCGCAAGCACTTTGCTCCAACACTTTGCGACTACAAGTTAAAATTATTTCCACAGTCCGGAGTTATCTCTCGCAGAGAGATAAATTCGCTTCCGGTGCTGCCTGCTGTCCTTTAATTAATAGTTACATATTGTATTCTGTACATCAAGTACAGACAAGCGTAAATATTTGTTAAGTTACTGATAACGTTTTCATTCTTCATACGATATATTCTGTTGTATGCTGAGTTCAAAATACGTACAATATTCACCGAATTACTGCAATTACGGGGACTTTCGTTGCGTAATAAAACGTATTTATAAACGATTAAGAAAGTAAAACTCTAACTCTAACAATAAGAACACGACTAACGTTATTTCCTCTTTGCTTTGATAAAGATTAATGTTGTTTAAAATAATTTTCCTTGAAGGTTTACTTTCTCGGTCTGATTTTTACCACATGAAACGATAATTACGCGAATTATAATGTCAATGTGATTTCGATTCAACGCGAGAAAAGGAGAATAATCCCGCGATAATACGCTTGAGCGTCCTCGAGATTCGCGGGAACGCCTTTCACTGGGCATTTGAGAAAAGGTGGGTGCCATGCGTCGGCGTCAAGTTCGTTATTTGGGTCGTTCTTGCAAAACACTATTCAAAGCTCGCTGTTCAGCGCTCGCCGGCCTTGACGGGCAACTCATTTCAGTGGCGTAATCGATGACAGGTCTCGTCAGTTCAAGAAGATGTCATCCTGTCCTTTGAAGAAATCGATTTTATTTAGTTAAATAAACTTGTTTTCTTTTTTTCCACTTGAAATCTGCATTCGTATTCTAAGCGGTTCTAAACATTATTTTGGATAACATATAAACGGATGAAATATAATTGAAAAAGAAACGATAACTAAAAAGACTTTTTATTTCTGATTATGCTTAATGCGTTTACGCGGATACCAAGAGGATCTTAACGCTAGCGAGACGAAATATCGCACGCGATAATGTCCCGTTTATGAGCTTCATAGTTAACAGTGGTTTACGTTCGCGACAGTTATACTACGTATTACACAGGATGTCGTGGGTGGGAAGACAGTTAACGCCGCAAGTACACGAACGTAGTGGTAGGCAATGCGCGAGTCGTGCAACAACCTGGTCGCTCACCTCTGCTATCACCGTCCCGTCGAAGGAGGTAACGAGAACCACTCGTTTACCCTTATTCAAACGGCTAATCGAAATAGCTAAGCAAGTTGTCTCGACGTGTAAACCTTTCGGCCGTGTAAACCGGACGTTAAGTCCCGTGCTCCCGATAAAGACTCGAGATAGCCGAATTCATTTTCAATTCCCTCGCCAGCTCGATCGCTGCACCGGGCTGCACGATCCATGAGAGATCTGGTTCCAATTCTCTCAAGGTGCGCCGCGCCGTGCCAGTTAGATCGTTTTTTACGAGCGCACCCGCTTAAAGCCGGACAAAGCAAAAGGGCGAAAAAAAAAGGAAGGACACGAAAAGAGAGGCAGGGTAAAAAAACTTTTACGTACCTACCTATCTACCTATCCGATGAGGACGCACGCGCGCGCGCGCGCGCGTTAAAATCCTCGTCCATTTCTAACACGCTCGAATAAGCAACGACTGAACGACGTCAGGGCTCCGCTCGCTCGCGGACTCGCTTGCGTGTAACGCGCTACGGTCTCGCAAGCAGGATATACACGTATATACATGTATACGTGTACACATACGAATGTCGTTTTCCCGTAGCGAGGTAAAGTCGATCGAGATATCGTTGGCGGGTTTTGTGACTTGCGTGACGACTGCCATGTTTGCAGAGAGAGAACTTTAGCGCGCGACTCCGTTGCCCCGCGTGCCCCGTTCTCGTGATACCTTCCTGCCTCCCTTTTCCTGCCCCCTGTTGTCCCGCATGTTCCTGCCACCTGCGCCATCGCGCTAGCTCGCCTTGCACGCATGCAACATAGTCGCCCTCCAGTGCTTTCCTCCCCCACCCGCTCTCTTTTTCACCTCCGCACGCCGTGCACACGTCAAGTTGCATCCCCCTTTTACCCTCTCTCTCTCCCACTTGGCGCACCCGCACTCGCAACTCGTCCGTTTAAACGTGTACCGGTGAACCCGGTAATTTCGCGAAAACTGCCACCACACACCGTCGTCACTGTCGCGGCCTCGTTTTTCCCTTCCACTTTTTTTTTTCATTCCCCTCGTCCATCTCTCTCTTTCGTTTTCCCATAATAAATTTGCCTCTCTTCGTTCATCTGTGACTGATCTTTCCCCCTTCCACCATTTCTCCCGTTCGCCCTTTTAACGATACCATGAGCTACTATGACACACCGTTACGGGGCTACCCCGAAGCGGATAGAGCGTGCACACACCACGTGTCTGCACGCAAGCCTATCTTGCACGCTTCCCTCGGCGTCGGTATCGGCGTCGGCGTCGGTAGCGACGTCGGGGAGCAGTTTTAAGAGCATGTCCCCGCAGAAAACCGCGAAGAGCGTAAACCCTGAAGCCTTTTCCAAGTCTGTTAAAAGATTATACTGTCTACCCTTATTCCAATAAGACAATGGTTGTCGACTGTTCCTCGCCCTTATCGCGAGAATGCTCTTTCAAATCCTAACTCTTGCTCGTTTCTACTCTTCAATGTATAGATTAACTTTCATCTCGGTTCAACTTACTCTTCAACCTGTTTTTTATTCTTAGAA